TAGTATTCAATTCTGATATTCATTTATTTGTGCAACATTAATGATGGTTATCCCCAAATAAGACACCGGAGTCTGCTAAAATGGAATCTAAACACTCACTTGGAAACAATTATTCAACTTTTAAGAAATGTCTTGACCATCTACAATTATACCGCTGCACTGTTAGAGAGAGAAACAGTAATTTTTTTCTTTAACCCAGAGTAACTGCATTAGTTTGGTGTTCTGTTGATAGCTACCACTAAGTCAGTTCTTCCCTCATGGCAATCCCTCACACACTGGAAAGCAACTCTGCCCAGCCCTGCCTTGCCACCATGACAGGCTGTGGACTGCACCTTTATGACCCATAGAGTTTTCACCGGGCCATTTTTTTTAAAGTAGATTAAGAGATCCTTCTTTCTAGTCTGGAAGCAGCTGAAACCTGCTCAGCATCACAGCAATATACAAGTATTCTTTCTCTGCAGAATAGTAAATATTTTAAATATATTAATACTCTAACACAAGTCAATAAATAGTACCAAAAAAGTGAATAGATTAATAATGTCCAATTAGCAACAATAAAGGCTATCTTTTTAAAAAATTTTATTTTTTTTGTGTGTGTATACCATCAAATCAGTAAAGGCTATCTTATGCTTTGCTTTAAGCTGATGACACTTCAATTATCAAATAACCATACCAGAAATTACTGCGACATCCCACTACTAGAAAGCTAAGGGTCTTTTTCAGTCAGTTATTATAAACAACATGTGATTATAAATATTTAACTGGCTCAGGACACAAATACATTTTAAAAGTGCTACTAAAGTCATTTAAAACAATAAAAGAATTTTAAGTAAATCAAAGATAGGTTTTCAGCAAGTTACCACAAAGGTATTTAATAATAGCATGTGGCTCTAACTTACTGCAGGACTCTTACCATTAATTACCTAGTAAGACACTTTTATGATATGTGCAGGCATTTGAGTGAGACTTTTTTTGAAGCAATTCCAGCACATCTGTCTAGTGTATTATCAGAACCAGAAACAACAATACTAAGTAATAAAATTTCATAAATGTGCTTATTTAATAAGGACAATTGTGTTTCTGGCCTTTTAACATCAATGTACACTATTTCTCTCTGTTCATTAAATATGAGTTGAAAAGCAACATTAATTATAATAGTTTATTAACAAGGGGTAATTTTAAAATATCTAGATGGCAGTGAAAAAGACTGTAAACTGATTAGAGGTACATTCCAAACTCTTTTGTACAGTTTGTCATACTAAAATACCTACCACTGTAATTGGGTAAAGTGGATTCTGAATTGATAGCAAAAGAACTTTGTTGCCTCCTGATGGATCATCGGTATTTCCTGGTCGAGTAATCCTTTTGCTTGTAGAATAGTTGAAAAAAGCTTGTTGACCAGCAATATAAACAGGTTCATCTGCAGCAAATGTGACACATTCTTTGGCACTATCTATGTTTTCAAATTCTACAAGAGCTTGCCGTTTAAAGGGCATCATCATCACATAACTGGAAAGAGATTGGAAGAAAATATTCAAATATAAGAAGTTAAATTAACATTATTTTATAAGCCAGTAAACAAAAGCTTGAAAGGGTTTAGACAGATTGTTGATGAGGGTGTGGATGGACTGCTGGAATGTCTGTAAAATGTTGCAGTCACTATGGAAAGTAGTTTAACAATTTCCTAAAGAGTAGAAAGCACAAATAGCATTTGATTAAGAAGTTCTACTAAGTGTATATCCTAAAGAAACAGGAGCTGCAACACAAACAAATATATGCATACTCAAGTTCATTGCACCATTATTCACAACAGTAAGGAGAAACAACCCAAGTATCCACCAATGAGCGAATGGATACAAGGTATTATCAAACACTGAAAAAGCAATAAATAATTGGTGAAATACTGAACCTAGATGACATCATACTGAGTGAAGTAAATCAGTCACCAAAAGAATAACTATTGCTAAAGACCAATATTATAAAAAACTAAAGAAAGGTTTAGGGAGCTCTTGTGGCCTAGTATGTAGAGTTGTGCTGCCAATCCAAAGGCATATGGTTCGAATCCACCAACCACTCCAGGGAAGATCTGAAAAGTTGCTATGAGTCAGCTCTAACTAGACAGCACATAAAAACAATAAAGAAGATATTATACACAAAATCATTCTTGTTATGGTCACCAAAGACTGGAAGAAAGAGGAGAATAAAAAAAAATAGACAAAATATTTAAGATGGATAAAAAAGGCAATACAGAATAAACAGATGATCAGCCATTTCAAATATTATTAACTAATGTTACAAAATAGTAATGATCGAGCTTTATAAATTAATCAACTCCTAACTGAGCCTCCAGGAGGTTGTCAGAGGCAGTAAATCACACAGGAGGAGATTGCCCCCTGCAACCTTTTTCCTGCAGAGCAACTGGTGGATTATTTGAAAGCTCATTATCCTTAGCTCAAAGTTTATGCACCTCATTCTCTCTACAAGCATAGTTTCTATCAGTTGCTAATGGTACTATTCCATTTATTCTTCAAGCTGTCACTCCCAGGCAATATTAGCAAATTATCAAGACACAAAAATGAACAGAGATTAAACTCAGCAAAAGGAAGGCAGTTAGTGCCCCCTTCTTACACAGCCAAAAACTACCATCTCTCTTGAATTTCCAAATTAACAAATGTACAAAGTAGTAATTATAAATTATCTTACTAACAACAAATAATCAAAAGCTAAAAAGCAGCAACTTGACCCAAGTTCATAAAAAGAATCTTCAGATGGTGCATGCACGCACACTCACAAATAATAAAATAAAATTAAAAAAAAAAGAATCTTCAAAACATTTAAAGAATTCATGAAAACACATACAGTAAATGTAGTAAATCCTGGTAATCAACAGGGAAGTGGGTGGGAATATTACTTTTAAATATATACTCTTCTTTTTGTGGAATTTATTATATGAAATGAAATATAAAGACAAGGAAAGATAAAGGGAAGAGAGAAATTCTAGTAAATAGATTGTAAAGGGCAACAACAAATCCTTTATTCATTTGAACCAAGAACATGAGATATGTTTATGATACAAGAAATACGTTTTTTAGGTATTTTAATAGCAGGACAGGGAAATGACTTCAGGTCAGGTACTCAGTGGCAGCAGTGTTCCTTAAGCATCCAGGGTCTCCTGCTGCACTCTAGAAACTGTCAAGTTATATAGTATTAATAACAAACAGACCACACTGGCAAATATTTGCATTTTTAGTGATTCTCAGTTTTATTGTCAAAATTAGAGTTATTACATACAAACTGCTTAGCAGAGTGCTTGGGCCACTGAAAATCTTTCAAAAAAGGTAGCTTACTATTTAAAAGATACTTACTATTTCTTTCCCCACTTAACAGATTTCATCTCCTTGTCAAAAATCAGTTGACCTTAGGTAGATGGGATGATTTCCGGGTTCTCGATTCTATTCCATTGATCTATGTATCTGTCATTGTACCAGTACCATGCTATCTTGACCACCACGGCAGTGTGGTAGGATTTGAAATCAGGGAATAAGATGCCTCCTAGCTTGTTTCTCTTTTTAAGGAGTGCTTTGCTTATTCGGGGTCTCTTTCCATTCCAAATTAAATTGGAGATTGCTTTTTCCATCTCATTGAACAATGGAATTTGTATTTGTATTGGGGTTGCACTGAACGTGTAAACTGCCTTTGGTAGTATTGTCATTTTCACAATATTGTGTTTTTCTATCTATGAGGAAGGTATATTCTTCCACTTCCCCAGGTCTCTTTTTGTTTCTTGTAGTAATGTTTTGTAATTTTCTTTGAATAGATCCTTGGTGCTTCTGCTTAGATATACTCCCAAGTGTTTAATCTTGTGATTAGCTATTGTGAAAGATAATGTTTTTCTTGGCTCCAGCCTGTATTCCCTTTGTTAGTGTAGAGAAATCCAGTTCATTTTTGTATGTTGATCTTGTATCCTGCCACTTTGATGAATTGGTCAATGATGTCCAGTAGTTTCCTTGCTGGGTTGTTAGGGTTTTCTAAGTATACTATCATATCATTTGCATACAGAAATAATTTTACCTCATTTTTGCCAATTTGGATACCTCTTATTTCCTTCTTTTGTCTTAAAGCTATCACTGAGACTTCCAATACAATACTGAATAGGAGAGGTGATAGTGAATTGTTGTTAAGTGCCATCGAGTCATAAGAGACTCATAGTGACCCTATGAACGAAAGACCTGGACACTTGTATAACTGTCATCCTTTTTCCAGGTTCACAGGGTTTCTGGAGGCAAGCTATGTCGGAAGTGGATGCCACTCCTGCTTTTAAGCTTGTTTTAATAGGGGAACTCCACCAAACACTGTCCACCATGGGTAACCATTCTCGCATGTGACACATAAGTGTCACCATGTTCAGCTTCACAGTAATCATGAGTTACCTCTGTACAGCAGGTGGACAGACCAGGGCTATACGATCTAGAAGAATATTTCACCAAAAACAATTAAAAACAGACCTGAGGGTGGTGGATTAGAGTCACTCACTTTTGGTTTGGTGGCATCACTTTCTGCCCACCAGGCCAATTGATCTCTCTCTATGCTGCTGTTGCTATTGTTAAGTGCCATCAAGCTGCAGCTGACTCATAGGACCCTATGAACAAAAAACATGGACACCTGTATAACTTTCATCCTACGCTGAGTGAAATAACTCCATCACAAAAGGACAAATACTGCATAGTGTGACTGTTGTAAAATGGGACTGACACTGGAGTTTGGGGGAAACTAAGAGGGAATGAATAATGTACACTGCATTGAAACAGATGAGGGAGAGAACTGTTTAGGAAGAAGATAAGATTAGGCATTATTGTCATGACAAGAGTCCAGAATAAAAGCTGCATAGTGGTCTCTGATTATATTTATATCCCCAGATAAATAGTAATCTTCTCCTTTAGAGAAACTGCTCTTGGTGGGTGTTTTTTTTTTCTGTAACCACTTATTACTTGCTGACATTATGTTTCACATACATTTGTATAAATAAATTTGCATTCCTATTTAAAATAAAAGCTTCCTAAGGGAAAACAAAAAAGCTGCATAGTGGAGTGGACTGGGGGGTGGGGGGTGAGGATATTGTATAACAATGAAAGTTGTTTGTTTGTTTTACTTTTCAAAGAGAAAAACAAACTGGGGGGAGGGGTGGGCAGGGAGGAAAGTGTGCAACAATGAATGAATGGAAACTTTCAATTAAAAAAAAAAAGAAATGGACCTTTCAACGAAGTTCTAAAGTACTGTTTAAAAAAAAAAGCGCCAGAAAACCATGGAATCAGGTCCACACTAAAAAAATTCAACAATTGTTCTCTCACAACACAGAGCCCCTGCCAGGGTTCCAATAGTAAAGGATCACATCTGCTTACCAAAAGGTTGGTGGTTCATACATACCAGAGGCACTTTAGAAAAAAAGTCCAGTGATCAGTCCTAATCCCCAAACCAGTTATTAAAACCGCTAGAGTCATGTTCTAATTCAAACACATTGGAGGTTACCATGAACCAGAGTGTCAACTTAATGAAGACTGGTATCATCTTACAAATATAATAAACTGACTTAAAATATTTATATATTATCAAGTAGATATAACAACATCCTTTGGCTTGGAAACTACATAGAGGTTTGAAATAAATTCTTTAGGGAAACACTGGTGATAGAGTGGCAAGCATAGCTCTCTTCTATAAAGAAATTCTTATTTATCTGCTATAGACTTAGTTATAATTTTTTTTAAAAAGTTTTCTAGAATGGAAATTAGTAAGACAGAAGCACTGAATTAAAAGTTAAAAAAAAACCCAAATAATAATTATGGCCATAATTATCATATAAAATAAAAAAGCTATTCTAATGCTTCCTTAAAGTTTCCAACTCCAACTGTATATGTTCATCACCTTATTTCTGGGATTTGTCTCAGTATTTCTTCGCTATAAAGAAGTACCTTTTCAAAACCTTACATATAAAAAAGGAAGAAGAAACTAATAATTTCTCTCCTCTCTAATGCCTTGGGTCAATGTACTACTTAAAATATCCATCAAAAGATTCTTACAGTAAATGCAGTCAGTCCAATCTAATGCCAAACACACAAGTCTAAAGACTTCAAGTCACAACTCTCCAAATAGACTTAACTTTACTATCCATGCCAAATGACTGAAAATTGATAGTGCCATCTCAGTGATATGTCAACATATGGGTTCTTTTTTATGCACGTGAATTTTCAATTTGTACTCCCAAGGACAAACAACATGTAATAGTGGTTTCCTAACCTAAGTTGAGGGTGACAGTTTTGACAAGTCATCTACCTCTCATTGAAGTCATCAACAATTTAATAAAATGCTGCCATGCTCAAAGGTGCCACTTAATTTTACTACTTCTTTGAAGCAATGATATGTTTCTTGTGGACATCTCTGATCATGCACTCATATCTATTTTAAACATCATCCATATAATAGTCAAAAATTTTACATCTGTACAGAATTATTTTATTAAAGTTACACATACAATTATCTCAGCAAATATACTTGAAAGTCCTCCCCACTTTTTCAATTTGAGTTGGTTTGTGCTTCATATGCCTGTAACAGAAACCACTAACATACCTGGCAAGGGGTAGGAGTGGGGGGAGATAATAAACTCAAACTATCCATACTGAGAACTGAACAAATTCCAAAAATACTTTAGAAAGAATTTTTGAGCAAGCTATTTTTGGCAGCTGATTTACATTCCTAATTATGTCTCATTCAAGTCAATATGCTTAAGTATATACCAGATGTTCGAAGACAAAGGAGTAGCCTGAATGAAGACATAAAGCACAAAAGGAAGACAAGCTAAGATAAAACCCTGACTACTCTAGATTTCAATAAGAACTCACAGCAGGAAGGACTAAGCAAATAATGCCTATGCTTAATTTAACTCAAATGGAGCTGCCAATGAAGTATTAAGTATTCACATGGAATTGTCAATAAATTACATATTAAACTAGTATTAATTACTATTATCTTCAAAGTCTAAAGATGGGCACTGATATACTTAAAGCAGGTTCTGTGAAGGAATCAGGGAACCATTTGAAAATTGGATGAAAAATGCACATTACTGATTTTACATACAACCTGGTGAGGGAGTAAAAGGTGATCATAAATCCACTAAGTACATGTATGCATTACCCAAGGAAGGTAAAGCTTAAAACAATTCCAAAGAATTCTGTTTGAAGGCAATCTGATTATATATCAAGCTTACAATAAAAAGATACACTGTATAGTTTTAATCCTTACCATATAGTTCCAAACTTTTCAAGAGCCTCCACAAGGTCAGCTTCCACCACAGATTCACAGAGTCCTCTAACATGGACAACAGGTGACACAGACACTTTATGGTGACTTCCACCTGCCTCCTAGTAAGGAAAAAAGATCCTAATTAAAACCTTAAAAAGGTCAAGTTGTATCTTTTAAAATTCAACTTTGCATTAAGAAATATTACCCTTCTTCCCAAAAAAACAACTTCTAACCAAACTTCTGACATTAGCAAAACCATCTGAAAGGTCATCAACTGGTTTGAAATTTTCATTTCTAAAAGAAAGTCTATCTCAAAAAGAAGTACAAGTTACTTAAAACTTATTTCTACTTCCAGCAAAATTTCAGAGATTCTGAATCTTCAAAAGAGATTCACCATGCAATAAGGGGGAATGTTATTATTTCCTTGTTTCCCTTTCTCATCTCATGTACAGCAGGACCTTGCTATTCAGCAGGGACTGGTTCCAGGACATCACCTCCTCAGCCTCAAAATCTGAGAATACTTAAATCCCTTACATAAAATGATGTAGTATTTGCATATAACCTAAGCATATCTCCCATATACTTTAAATCACCTTGTTGTTGTTATGTGCCATCAAGTCGTTTGTGACTCATAGAG